CGCAAAATTTCATAAGCTCGGTAAAGTTGTATGCGGGCGTAGCGTGTAACCGGACAGAAGCCCGTGCCCCTCCGAATCCGGTTCGAATCCATTGAAAAACCATTTAGTAATGCCCACGCTCAGACCTTGTTCTGGGTTTCAGTTTCTGCGTTTGGGTCCGCTTTGCTGTACGTGTCAATGCAGCAAGCGGAGTTTTTGTGTGCTGCTCGGCCCTGTCCATGTGTCACTGTGCGTATGTGTGTGTGTGCCTGTGTGTGTGTGCCACATCAGTCAAAGCACCGCAGCAACAGCAGTTTCACACACACACACACACACACACACATCCAGTGACTGATGCAATGTTGCATGCTAACGGTTTTTCTGTCGCTGGCAACTTAACACTCACAGCTGCCTTTGCTTTTGCAGGCTCTGACCAATTGCTGGTTGCACATTTTGCATCAGCTTTCGGTTCCTGTGCGTGTATGTGTGTGTGAGTGGGTGTGCTAATTTGGCATCTAATTTTGCAGCATGGACAGCGGCAAATGAGCAACTTGCAACTGCTGCCTGGCAGCATGGCAGCTGCTGCTGTTGCTGTTGCTGTTGCTGATTTTGCTTTTCTACTTGCAATCGCAACTGTCAAACCATCAAAATGAGATGACGCAAGCAGCGTCAGAGGCGACAATTGCATTTTGTCACTCAGTGTTTACCCCTCAATTCACACCACAACATGAGCATCATTTTTGTTATAGCCTAGCAAAGTTCATTAATGCGCATATGCAGCCCATTTGTTGGCTGTTACGTGGCGTACAGTCCACCAGCTGTTAGCTAACATGCCGCGTAATGTTATTGAATAATCAGAGTCCACTTCACTCAATTGACTATGCTGTTGAGATTGATGCAAATATCTGTAGCTCGCTGCAGTTCAATTAACCCAAATGCTGACGAAATATGAGAGTTGAGAATTTTAGAAGAATTTTATTGAGAGTAAAGTAGAGTTGAAAATTTTAGCATAATGTTGTTGATCGTTCAAAGGTCCAATATGAAGCGTAGACTTTGATGAATGTAAAAACGATTAAATTTATAAATGTGATTCGGGACGCGGCAATCAGCCGAGACTTGTGAGTCAGCATTACCTGAGCCATTAAGTCTTAATGTCAATGTAAAGCAAGTTTTTGAGTTGAATGTGTATCGCTTATGTTTTGTCCAGTAGAGTGGTCTTCCAAGTAATCTACAGTCTATACGCTGTTAAGTAACACTAAATAGTTGATAAACTTTGGTAGTTTGCACAGATATTGTTACATTCAATTTGCTTAAGCTCTCTAAATATCATTTTTCATCAATATCAATCAATCATCTCATATTATATCATGCGGAAGTTTTTAAAGAGCGAAACTTTTACTACTTGCTGTTAATTAACATTATGTTGTGTAATGTAACTATATGCCCATATGCTAGCGCTGTTAATTAACATTGGCTAACTAATGCGGCTCATTGGGCCAACTGTTGTTAATGCCACTTATAGTATGCGATTGCAATTAACGTGCGATGGCAGCACTTTAAATTCAGGACCTGACGCACAGCCAGGCTACTGAACATAAGCCAGCTATAATACATATATTATATACACACATAAGTATGTATAAATACACATACATACATACATATATGTTTGGGTAAGTGCGTTGTGTGGAGGTCGTAGCAGCGGCGAAATTATGTTTGCTTACGTGGCCAGTGTCGCTGGCAACAGCAGCAACAACAACAACAACAACAGCAACAACAACTACAACAAGGACAAGCGTAACAAGGATGTCGCCAATGTGGACAGCACCAACAATGCGGCTTGAAATTTGACACTTTCACAGTTGGTCAGTTGATTTGGTCGCTTGCCCGCCGTGGCCTGAATGACACCACACCAAGTCCACCGTCCTCCGTCCACCGTCCACCGTCCAGCGTTCAGCGTGGTGCTCACTGCTCCCAGTTCCTACTCCATGCTGCCGGCTGTCTGCATTTCGTTAGATTAATGTCCTGCTCAATCATCAATAGGTTCAGCGTACTGCGCCGCTTTGTTTGTATAGCACTTGTTTATCGGTCGGGGCGACCGGCTTGCGTCCCGGCCATGTTCTATGGGCTCCTTTCGCTTCGTTCCGTTTCGCAGTGTTTTTTTCAGCTTTTGTTTTTTTTTTGCTGCGCTTTATCCTATTTATTACGGCTTTCATTTTGGCTTGTGCATTCATCCTTTTGCTTTGTTCTTTCGTTTACTTTTAATTCATTTAGGTTTTCTTGTTGTTCATTTTGATTGATGACCACTTTAATTGCGGATATTAAATGACAAGCGAATGGCGCATCCACCCCCACTGACCACACCCCACGCCCTACAGCCCACAGCCCCGACCCCTCCGCCTTGGTAAACACACTATGTCACCTTCTGCTCCTGCCTTCAACTTTAGCATTTTGTGGCTTCATTTTGGCGCTCTAATTTCCAGCTGGTCAGCAGCAAATGGCTCGGCTTTATCGATCTTTGCGTGGGCGGCGAAACCTCACTCAGCTGCAGCAATTTGTTGTGTTTTCATGCACTTTTGCGCACACACATGCTTACACTCTCACTGTGTGTGCACACTCTGAGTTAATCAAAGTGAAAAAGAATTGCAATTTGATGTTTGCCCGAAAACGTTGTTTTGGTTGGTTCTTCTCGTCATGGAGCTGGAATAAAATTTGATAGCTCGTGTATAAAGAAAACAAATTAAGATTGAATTAAAAGAAGAGCACAATAGAGGTACAGTGATGGCTGACCACAGCTAGCTAAATAAATTATATTATTTGGTTGAATTTTATTTGATTTTTTTTTTAAGTTATTCAAATATATATAAGATACATAAAATGAATCGGTTCTCGATTTTAAATATTTATATTTATTCAATTAACACATACATATTTAAATTTGCTTGTTGAAATAAAATATTTATATACTTTCTATATTGAAATTGCATATGAAAATCATTATAATAAAACATATATTTTTATCATCCTTCATAGAAAGAAAATTATTGCTCATAACTAAACTTTCTGTCGGATTACTTAAGATATTTCTTATTTCTTATCATATTTGCAATAATTTAGAATTTTAATAAAATAATTGATTTCATCTCACTATTCTATCATAGTCTATTCCTTAAGCGAGCTCGCAAGTAACTTATCCGAATTTCTAGCAGCTTATCACAGATTTTATTGCTATTAAACTATTAAGAGTAGTTTTACAATATCTATTTTCCGCATTTCCACTTACCCGTGCCGAGCTGCTTTAATTAGGTATTCTGACACGCATACACATTGGCAGATAGTCCTTAGATTAAGGGGAAGGGAACGCCACAGTAGACGCTGTTTTATGCCTTTGATGTGGGCGCTAAATAATGTTGACTTTGCCAGCCAGTTAACGCACAGGTCGATGATGATGACGACAGCGACGACGATGATGATGGTGCAGAAACAGGAACTGAGCTATATAACTACATAATAATTCTAATGAAAAATGTCAAGCTGCAAATTTGATTACTTGCTTTGATTGTCAATTAAAGCACAACAACAAATTTGCAGTGTAGGAATCTCGTTAGCTTCTCTCTTTCCCTTCCTCTCTCGCTATGAATATATATATATATATATATATCTTTGTATATTAATATGATGCTATATAGATAAATATATATGTATATATGTAGGTGCGTCTATATGAGACCGCAGATGATGAGCGAATCCTAATTAATTTTGTACACACAGGCACATATTGTTGTGCCTTGCATTAAGTGACACAGCAAATCAGTTGGCTCTCTCATTAGGCGCATTAATTGATAAATTGATATTGGCTGGACACAGCCAGAGGGCAGCAGTTGCTTGTGGTTGGGCGTTATGGACTAAAACTTAACTTGGCTGAAGTAAACTGAACTGAGCCGAACCGAACTGACCTGAACTGAAGCGAATTGAGCTGATTTTATGAGTGTGTGGACGGGTGCTGGTGTTTTGTTGTGTTTGTATTTTGAGCACTTGCAGTTGGAAGTTCTTAAAAAGTCACTGGGACTAAAAGAAAAACATCAAATCGAACGCTGTCTGGCTGTCAAATCAAACTTTGATTTGATTTGATGCTTTTGCCGTGCAACTTTTATGCGAACTGACATGAAGTTTTGGCCAATAACAATCAGTTAATGCAATGCTAAGAATCAGTGTACTAGAAAATAAAGGAACTGAAACTCTGTTATGGCCAAATTTTAGTGTTGATTAATTGCTTTTGGGTTTTTAGTGTCAGCAGCAGGATGATTAATGCTATTGTTGTTGTCACTTGTTGGGGACCGAAGTGCGTGTGACCAAAAATGTTAATTGTTAATTTCCACATGTGAAAAGGTAAAACATTAGCTGAAGAAATTGCATGAACAGCAGTAGCAATGAACATAACAACGTAAACAGATATGATAAAAGTGGCCGCAAGGCAACAGTGGCAACAGTAACAGCAGTATAACAGCAGCAGCAAATAACAGTAGAAGCAACAGCATTAAACCATCAAGAGGTACGCAGCAGCAGAAGCAACGACAATATTAACAGTAAGAATAACAGCAGCACCAACAACAGATTGATTAACAGCTACAACAATATCAACAACAACAGCGGCAGCAGGTTAAATGCCAGAGCGAAAGCATGAAATAAAATAAACAAAGATTAAAGCACGAAGCCAAAAATGTTAACGAAGCCAAAACACGAGCATTTTCATATGAAATCCGAGCAAATAGCGTAACTAATTAAGGATGCGCCTGCGCTGTATGGCAAGAGTGTCGCTTGCTCTCTCGCTCCCACACGCGTGCTCTTATAAAGCTTTTTCCTGGAGCTTTGGGATCGAAGCAATGCAAAAATTGTCTTATACGTCGCTTGATTTCATTGAAATACGGCAGCACAGCTGCTCGGACGTTCAGTCGCTGGCAAGTGGTCGGTGTGAGTGGTTGACTGCGCAGCAAGCAGCAAACAGCACTGGAGCAGCAGCAGCTATAGCAACAGCAACATCAGTAGACAGTGTGTGGTGGCAATCAAAGTTAAATTGCTGTTAAATTGATATGTGTTGTTGTTGTGGGCGATCACCATCAGCCGGTAGCAGTGGCAGTGGCTGCGGCTACGGCAGTGGCAGAAGCAGAAGCAACGGCAGCGCCACTCGAATCAGCAACGCATTCAACGTCAACGTAATCCCTGCCACTTGACGAACAACGAGGAGGACTCAGACATCGCAGCTTGTTTGACAATGGAACGCCCGATTAAAAACAAAAAAAAAAAAAAAAAAAAAAAAAAAAAAATCTGAAAAAAAAAAGGAAAATGCAATGAAGGAAAAGAAAATCCATCGCGCTGAAGTACTCAAGTGTTGGCCAAGTCATTTGTGCGTTCATTGTGCAGGAAGCGGATCCCCTGCAAGGCTGACTGTGCTGTGCATGAGGAGCAGCCAGCGCCAGCTTAGTGCAGCGCTTGTCCTCATATAATGTCTGCTAATATTTGAAGAGTGCGCCGCATTAATTGACATGAAAGCCAAAATGAGGGCGAACAAAATAAAGAGAAAAATGGAAAGGCAAGAGAGAAAAAATGAAAATAGAGGAGAGGAGGGGAGCATAACGAGGAACTGCAGCCTGCCTAGACTTTGGCTTTTCGGCTGACTTCTAATGAGCGGAGCTCACGACTGCTAGGTAAGTGCCGGCTTAAGCCTAAGTCCTGCTGTGGCTTCTTAGCCCTTTATGTGTGTTGAGTGTTTGGTTGCTGCCTGTTTGTATGTGTGTGCGTGTGTGTGTGTGTAGTACTGTGATTTGGTGGCGAGGCCAAAGTGATTTATGTGCCAATAAATGCACGAAACGTTCGCATTAATATTGCATCTACTCCAACATTTGCACTCTGCCATCTCTTTCGCACTGGCTCTAAATCTCTCACTCTCACGCTAAGCCACTGGCAATTGCTGGCCAATATTTTATGGCAAATTAGCCTGGCCATGTAATTTAGTGTTGCATACACAACAGGCGCCGCTCTCCCTCTCTGTCTCGCTCTCACTCTGCCCGTGTCCCTCTCTGTCTCTCTCTCACTCCCTCGCTCTCCGTTTGAGACACTAAATTACATAACTGTAGTCAACCATATGGCACAAATTATACGACAAATCGTTGTTGCTGTCAATTTGCAAATTAGAGACGAGCACGCACACACTCAAACACTCAAGCACACACATACACACACACAATCAAACACTCGCACACCAAATTTGTTTGTTTGTTCGGCTGCCTCTTTTTATGAGGCCTGGCAATCAGCCATCAATTGTTTAACATATTGCACTTTATTATGTGCCCTGGGGTTGGGGTAGGCCACACACATACACACACACACACATACATACAAACATACGCATATTCCATCTGCATTCGTTTTTATTGCCCTGATTGCGATTTGTTCGGTTTCCAGCAGTTGATCTGCGGTCGCTTCAGCTTGTTTTCCAATATAATTATATGCAATTACATTTAACTGTCATTTTTCTACACGTTTTTACCGTTTGTTTAATGAATGTGTTTGTAATTTTAATCAAATGCTGTAATTTTTTAATCATATATATTGACAGATATATATATATATATACTTGTGTGTGTGTAAGTAAGTGAATTTACCATAACTGTTGATACACAAATACATATATGAAATTATCGTATATATTAACTGTGATACATCTGCGTAATTGAATTTACCCTAACTGTTGATATATTTATATGAATACTTGAACATAATACAGTTATTCTTTTAAACACAATTAAATACATAAAATATTGGCAATATCAATTGAAAGTGTCCCAGGAATTTAGTAAATTATTTAATCAATCACCTCCAATTGAATGTCGTCAATTGTTTTCGGTTTGTTAACTATGTTTGTTGTTTGACTAACTTTTTTAAAGTGAAACTTTTTTTTTATAATTTTTGTTTCTCAATTAACTTAAAAAATTAAAAAAAAAAAAAACGTTATCATAATCTTTTAAGTTAAAATGTATTTAAATATAGCATATATTTTATATGATATTATTTAAAAATACATTTAATATGAATATAATTAAATAGTTCCACAGACTTAATTTAGTATGAAATTGTATCAGCAAATTAAAATCTCATACATATAAAAAAAAAATATTCGTCATATATTGCGAAATAAATCTGTTTAATAGGTCCAAAACAGTTAACCTCATACATATAAAAACAGTTTGAGTAACCCTCGTCCTGATTTAGTTTCTTGAAAACTATTTACACTTCATTTTGGACGCTGGGTGGCCCATAAGTAGAATATTGGCAGGAATGAGAAAGGGGCTTCAATAAGCGTTGGGCCAAGGCCTAGCTAATTTGCAGTCAATTTAAAGAGAGCCTTTCGCCTACCTAGCTCAAATATTTGGCTCAAACACTTTTGCTTTCAATGGCGAATTCAATTAAGAGCGAAAAAAATCCCAACAACAAAAGTGCGCAAAGTGTAGCGAAGGGAAAATGTGGCCTGAAGCTGCCGTTGCCGTTGCCGCTGCCTCTGCCTCTGCCGCTGCTTTTGGCTAGCAAAAATCTTTTTTAATAATATTTAAATGGAATTACTTTTAATTAAGTCCAAAGTCCAGGCGCAACCACAAAAGGCTGCAGCAGTTAGGAGCCAGCGACTACGCAGCCAGCCAAAACCAAAATGTTAACAGTCTCCAATTACCAAGTCGCAACACAAAATACGAAATAAAAAAAAAAAGAATATTTAAAAATAAAAAAGTATTACCCAAACAAGAAGAAGCAGGTTTCAAGTTAAGCTAACGGAATATTTGATACTCTATTGCAGTGTAAAGATCGCCAAAAGATTTTCAATAACTTTCGAATGACTTTTACGTGCTTTGACAGCGGCTGACTGATTTCGATTGTAATTAATGAATAACTGTGAATTTATTTTTAAATTCCATATTCGATCGTTCAATTATTCATCAGTTTAAACTTGGATCTGATTCCCAGCCCTGAGATTAAGTATGTGTCAGACCCAAAAACAGAATTTGGGGATTTTCTGAAATATTTACTGCTACGATTTAGCCAATTAATCTCTTAGGAATGTAATGAAATATATGTTAAAGACTATACAGGACTAATATATTATACATAGGTTAAGGGAAGAATGAGCAACTATTTTAAGGGTATATTAGGCAGATTCGAAGTCCAGTAGGTCTCGATGGTTATTTTGTAAAAGGAATGAATCTTAATAACAAATATACCCAATTCTGATTCCTTTTTAAAATTTCGCATTTTCTATATACTAAATTCGAGCCAAGACTAAAACTATTTATATCATATAAATTTGATATATGCCGAAAGCTTTTCATAATGAAGCTATTCGCCTTTCGTATTCATTCTTGATATTCATGACGAAAATAAAGGTGACTCATAAATATTATTTGCAATAATGTATTACTTGTTATGTTAATCTCAATATTTATCAGACGATATCGTGTTTCTAATTATTTCAAATTCATCTGAAATACTCATTAAATATTGGTGAGCAATTAGCACTTTAATTGGGGTAATTATATACTTTCTGCCGGGCCATAGGCAGGGCCGGCCGACTTGGCCAAGCGTGCTTGTCCCACCTTTGTTAGGGCATACAAATGAAGCGCAAGGTGATTAAAATTTTACCTACCTAGGCAACTGCTGGTCACTTTTACTCTCTGCCCGCCGCTCTGGCCCTAAGCGTTTGCCTTTTCTGTTGCCTTTTTGTGCTGCTGTTTGGTTTTTTTTTTTTTTCTTAAATTTTTTTTTTTAATAAGTATGTATTAATTAATGCAAAAATGAAGAACTGGAACTTAAGTAGGGCTTCTGCTGCCGACGCCGCTTCTTGTTTTACAAATGAGCAGCGCTTTTGCAGTTCCTTTACTTTTAGTTCGTCTTTTTCTTCCTTGCTTTTTTTTATTTTTATTTATTTATTTATTTTTTTTTTTTTTGAAATTTGAGAGCGTGACGCAAATTAAGAACCCGATTGGCGTTCAGGGAGCAATGCGCCGGGATTCAGCAGGCAGTAGGCAGCAGGCAGCAAGCAGCAGGAGGAGCAGCTCCAGCAACACACTGCTGTCCACTCAACCGGCAGCAGCTTAATGAAAACGAAATTGACACCTACCTGTGCTTCCACCTGGCCACCCCTGCCCCTCTTCCTCACTCGCGCTCCCTCTGCCCCTTTCGGGTTATAGCGTATTGTTTTCTTGTCCTTAGCTTCATTTTTTTTTTCTGCTGCTGCTGCTCCTGCTGACCGCAGTAAAATTATACGCACGTCTGAAGTTACGTGAAATGTCGATGATGGGGACACTGCGTGTCAATAGTTGAAACACCACGGCAATGCAGACTGTCCCAGCCGCCTAGCCCAGGCAGCCCAGGCAGTCGCAGCCCTGTTCCGGCAGATCCTTCAGCCTGTGCGCTTCCTGTGCCGTTGCCATTCTGTACGCCATCATTGCACACATCCGTGCGTGGCCTGGGAAAATGCTCATAAATCTTCCCCAGCCCCATCAAGCCTCACACCCAGCTCCTAGTGTGGCGTTATTTCGATTTCAAAACTCAATGTGAGTGTGAGTGCGAGTGCGAATGTATATGTGTGTTTGGTTGTGCGTGTGTCGAGTTTATGTTTTATCTTGCTTTTACGCTTCCGAACTGCTGCCACAGCTATAGCCACATCTGCAGCTCCAGCTTCAGCCTCAGCATCAGCTACAGTGTCTCCTGCCGCCTTCGGCAGTATCCTTGCTGCCCACTCCAGCTTTTCGGCCACTGCCCGAATTGTGTCTCCAGCTATTTCAGTTTGTTGTTTAGCTCATAAATCTGCTTATCTGTGGAGTCGTCGCATTGGCTGCGCACCGCCTAACAGCTCAAAGCTGCCATCGCCATCGCCTTGGCTTTGCTTTTCTAGTTTTTGTTTTTCTTTGCACTGTCGAAAGGGTTGATCAGCACTTTGTATAAACCTAAACCCTGGACTGTTGCTTACAATCAGCTTGTGTTCTAAAAGTTAATTCAAGCTTAAATTAAAGTACTTTGTCAGCATTTTGATTCTTGAGCGAAATCTGTGACAAGTTAGCAGACTACAAATAAAATCGATCTACATCTATGATATATGAATGCGTATAGCTGTAAAGGAGAGAGTAATTAAAAATGGAAAATATTTAAATGAATAATAAGTCCTTAGATATTGCATTATGCCTTTATTATGAAATGGTAATATAATTATTCTAAATTAATTCAAAAGTAAAAAATTCCCTTATCAGAGAAAGATATTTTTATATTCCAAATTAAAATTATTATTTGTCATATTTCTAAAAAGGGTATTTCGTATTCGTGTAGAACGAACTGCAAACAGTTTCGAATAGCCTACAAGTTTGGTGTACTGTATTTTTTGTATCGGTTTGGCCAGATCCGGTTCAGATTTGGTGCGGACTTGGCCCAGCTGTGGCGTATTAAAGGATTTTGCAGCAACTTGACCCTGTTGCAGTCATGCATAAATTTGTTAGATTTACCCATTGACAAGAGCAGCAAAACCAAACCAAGAATAACATACAAACATACTCTCACACACACACACACATTCACATATATATATATATACAACAAACGGCAAAACAATATTGTGGCAAAGTGTTCTGCAACCCAAAATGGTCGAGCGCCTAAAAGTTATAAATAT